CTGTTTCTCAGATATTGTAATCATTAGGTTAACTTAAGTTTTGTGATAAAGTCTGTTTCTCAGATATTATAATTAATAGGTTAACTATAGAATGAAAGTAATGCGTTCCTGTCATTCTCAAAGGAAATTTTGAAAACTATAAAAATAAGGAGAATGTGATAAAATTGCAAGTGAGACAATTATCCAACCAAGTCCAAATGACGTGGATGGAAGTATCTTTAATATTAAAGGAGGAGGTATTTTAACTTGCGGCCAAATTTCGGCCCCTTGAATTCCAAAAAATAAACAAGAGGCTACAAGGAGCCTGTAACGCTAACCTAGCATTTTGACCAAAAACTAATAGATACAATGCAACAAGATTGTGTGTGTTGATTCTGTCTTGCTGGTCTTTTTGGCTGGACCAAGTTTCTAAGTAGGTATACGTGTCCATCAGACAGGGCTGCCATGACCTTAAGTTGTTGTGGTATGGTCTGTTTTTCAGATACTTGTACTATAAATAAACTCATCATAGATACCAGGATTAAAATTTTGTACGCCAGACGCGCGTTTTGTCTATAAAAGACTCATCAGTGACGCTCGAAACAAAAAAGTAAGCAGTAGGTCAACTATATTCGGCTTAATGAATGGTATACATGTCTGTCTGCCAGGTATGATCTGAACCGGACCTATAGCTTGCTGTTCGGTGTGTGCCAATGCTCCGTGTTGAAGGCCGTACCTTGACCTATAATGGTTTACTTTTATAAGTTGTAACTTGGATGGAGTGTTGTCTCATTGGCACTCATACCACATCTTCCTATATCTACTAATTTGCATGGTTCATTAGTCAATAATAAGACTCTTGTGGTCATTTGACGACTAACACACAAGGATAAACCTGTATAGCATGATTGTACTATATAGGGCAGTTGTTTACAACTAGATCTAGTGCAATAAAGAATTTGTTAATGTTAAAAATAAAAAAAAACATAAAAAAGACTTTCATGGTTTGATCTGGGTTTTTTTTCAGATACTATAGCAATGGGTCAATTATATTTGGTGCAAGCATTGATTGTAAGGTATAAATGTCTTTCAGACCGAGTTCATCTGATATTGACCTCATTTCATCACTTATTGGTCAATGTTAAGTTTTTGTTTTCTTAGTCCGTTTTTCGGATCCTTTATGCAATAAGTCAACTACATTTGGTGTATAGAATGATTGAAAGGTGTTTTTGTCTGTCTGAAAGAGTTCATCTGACCATGACCTCATTTTCATGGTTTGGAAGGATTTTAAGGTGTACATGTATGAGTGACAGGTTTCATCTGACCATGACCTCATTTTCAATGTTCATTTGTTAATCTTTAGTTTTCATGGTAAGGTCTATTTCTCAGATACTATAAGCAACAGGTTTATTATATTTGGTTTATGGAATGGACACAATGCATACCGGTCCTTCTTAATGGAAATTTTTGAAACTATAAAAATAAGGAAATGTGATATGATTGCCAATGAGATAATTATCAACCAAAGTCCAAACTACGTGGACTGTAGCAAAAGAAGGGGTAATATAAGGCCATTTTTTTTTGGTTCCTTGAATTCCAAAAATAAACAAGAGGAGCCTGTATCGCTCATCTGGTATTTTGGCCAAAAATAAAATGATACAATGCTACAAGATTATGGGTGTTGAATTTGTCTTGCTGATCATTTTTGCAGGACCAAGTTTCTGCATAGGTCTACATGTCTATCAGACCAGATTCAACTGACCTTCATCGATCAGTGAGCAAAATTAACTTTTTGCTATGAAGTCCGTATCTCAGATAGGTCAACTGTATTTGGTTTATGGAATGACTAAGGTGGACATGTCTGTCTGGCAGGTTTCATCTGATCTTTATCTCGTTTTCATGGTTTATTGGTCAATGTTAAGTTTTCATGGTGAAGTCCGTTCCTCATTTACTATAAGTAATATGTGTATATAATGGTTGTTGTGCGTACCGGACTGTCCACCTAAAAGGGTTTATCTGACATTGACTTCATTTAAAAAGATCGTTGATATTGTATATTTAATTTAAAGCTTGTAGTATAACCTCTTTCTTTAAGACTTTAAACCCTCTATTCTCTATTATTAATTAGCATCAAATGAGCCTTATCATTCTTCAAATCACATTTGTCAGTTACCATTTGCGTTAGGTGAAGTAAAATGTTATCGTTAATAAGAGCAAATTTTATTGTTAATTTGTAATTGGGTTACCCTGGGAATAGTATGCTGACAATAATAATAGTCAATGTATTATGTCTCTGTTGATATCTTAAAAACTTTAACCACAGACTGTTTCTGAATGTTAACTGTTAAAAAAACTAAGTTCTTTTATCAGTCAAAATTGAGCAAGAAAAGACCTGTCAAATTGACAACAAACTGGGTTTTCTGTATTTTGAAGGCACTGTCAGGCTTGTTTGAACTGCCACATTCTGTGCCTATTTTCAAATTTATCAAGGACCATAACTCCTGAACCGCAAAAGTATCCTCAACTTGAAATTTACCTCCATTTTGTCATCAGTAACAACATATTAAAGTTTGAAAAGCATTTGTTGAACGGTTCATAGATTATTGAAAAGAAACACCATAAAATGCAATTTCATTTCATATCAAAATCTATCAAGGACCATAACTTCTGAACGGTAAAAGTGAAAATGGTCAATATTGAACTTGACCTCCATTGTGCAATTACGAACATATTAAAAATTTGTAATCATTGATAACATGGAAACAACATTAAGTGCTATTTTCCAATCTCTCAAGGACCATAACTCCTGAACAATAAAAGTGAAAATCGTCAATATTGAACTTGACCTCCATTTTGTAATCGCTAACAACATAGTAAACCTTGAAAAGTATTGATTGAACGGTTCATAAGTTATTGCACAGAAATTGTTGGCAGCCGCCCGCCTGCTGTACTTTCAACAAATTAATAACTTCTATGAAAAGCTTCTGTCAAAGTTTCATAAAATTCATTAAAATGGTACGCTTTTCGTACTCGCAACTCCTCCTCAACCTCTTATTACAATCTATTTAAAATTTCTCACATTCTTGTCCATATAATGCTTTTGTGCATCTCTGATTCTATTTATTTTTTACCAGCATCATTTCACAGTTTTCTTCAGCAAAGCATTCAGTGGTTGTAGTTTGTTGCTAAATATCATATTTGATTTTCGTTTATTTTTTCGTACATAAATCAGGCCATTAGTTTTCTCATTTGAATTGATTTACATTTGTCATTTCCAGGCCTTTTAAAGCTTACTACATGTATGCGGTATGTGTTTTGCTCATTGTTGAAGGCCATACGGTGACCTTTAGTTGTTTACTTCCACGCCATTTGGTCTCTGGTTGAAAGTTGACTCATTGGCAATCTTACTACATCTTCTTATTTTTATATAAGCACAGTACACATTTATATCCCCTTCTCCTCCTAAACCTATACAATATATCTTGATCTATTTGTGATTATGTCTTGTTAAAATAATGTCCAGTAGAGGCAGGTATGTTTGATTTTAGACTGGAACCATATGAATCACATAATTATGTTGAGAAGAGTTATCATCTTCTTTGATCTTGGTTTGCTTAAGTCTTTGAAACAGTAAGACAAGAGTGCTGAAATGCCTCACCTGTTTAACTTATCATTGAATTCAAAGTCTGTAATATGAAGGTTTTACTACAAGTATCACATAAACTTAACATTATGAAGGCCATACGGTTGCCTATATTTGCTTACATCCAAGTTTTATTTGAACTTTGGTGGATAGTTGTCTCGTTGGCAATCATACCACATCTCCTTATTTTCATATTATCAATGTTCTATGAAAATGAAGTCACAGTAATATGAACGATACCAGACAGACATGTGGACCTTACAATTATTCCATACACCAAATACAGTGATCTTATCACAAATAGTACCTGAGAAACACAATAAACCACAAAATCTTAACATTGACCAATGAATGAACCATGAAAATGAGATCAAGGTCATATGAACCCTGCCAGACAGACATGTACACCTTACAACCATTCCATACACCAAATATAGTTGACCTACTGCTTATAGTATCTGATAAACTAAAAAAATTATGAAAACTTATCTTTGATGAATGAACCATGAAAATGAGGTCAAGGTCATATGAACCCTGCCCAACAGACATGTAAACCTTACAATCATTCCATACACAAAATATAATTGACCTATTGCTTAAAATATCTGAGAAATGACCAAACCACAAAAACTACAAAAAAAGTTCAATAAACCATGAAAATGAGGTCAAGGTCAGAAGAAACCTGCCAGACAAACATGTACACCTTACAATCATTCCATACACCAAATATAGTGGCCCTATTACTTAGTGTATCTGGGAAATAAACCAAACCACAAAAACAAAACATTGTAAAATGAACCATGAAATTAGGTCAAGGTCAGCTGAAACCTGCCAGTCTGACATGTACACCTTACAATCATTCTTTACACCAAATATAGTTGAACTTATGCTTACAGTATCTGAGATATGGACTAAACCACCAAACTTTGACCTTGATCACTGATCCATGATATGAGATGAAGTCAGGTGAACCCTGTCTGACGGACATGTAGATGCTGCAAGGAACCCATATAACAAATATAGTTATAATATTACTCATAATTAGTGAGAAAATTCAAGCAGTGGCTGAACCATGAAAATGAGGTCAAGGACAATGGACATATGACAGACAGAAACCTAGTCACATAAGGTATCTGCATACAAAGTACAAAGCATCCAGGACTTGTAACCTTCTGAAATATTAAACTTTATACAAATAGTTCATGCCGTCATCGCCGTCAAATTGTAATACTTATGTCTTGCATTCTGCAACTTTCCTCACAGGCGAGACAAAAACTATTTACATGTATTAACACATGGTTTCTAAAGAACTTTGAAAGTAAAAATGCATTATTGGCCCTGGTAGATATAATGAGTCATTGAATTTAAATTCAGAACAAATACTATTAATTTTAGTAATGGCCATCTAAGTAACGATGTTTCTAAGTTTGACTTTTTTCGTTTAGTTGATAAAAAAAATTAAAATGCATTAAAGTTTTTTTTCAATGGAAAACAGGCATACAGGCACAATTTCTCACATTGTCCAAGTGAATCAGATAAGTCAAGAAAGATCACTTAAAAAAAAACTTTAAATTTTTCGAGTTTAATCGTCAAATTTAATTTTCTTTCCTTGGAAAGCTTGGATCGTTGAATGTTCCTTTCTCTTCTTACTAGCCTCCCAGGAAGGATGGATTTTCTCCTCTGTCTTTGTTGATGAACCTTGGAAAAAAAATATTCATTTTCAAGTTTAGCTCTAACATAATATATCGTAAATATTAACTGGTAAATCAATATTACACAATAAAAACAACGGGGATAAGGAAACACTCTAACATAATATAATGTAAATGTTAACTGGTAAATCAATGTTACACAATAAAAACAACAGGGATAAGGAAACCAGTTCATATGACTGATATCTATTTTACCCTGAACTTAAAAGTAGCAACTATTTCTTTTAACTTGTTGGTTCAATATAAATTTTTCCTTTCAAGAGCTATCTAAATAGTTGTAAGATATTGAATTTAAGTATTGTTCTGGTGAAAGCTTGCGTCAGGTGACTTTAGAATTACCTGATTTCCACCTAAGCAACAGAGGCAGATTTAGGTGGGGAGGGGGCAGGATACCCTGCTCCCCTACTCCTTATGGAGCTACATATATGGTTAATGCATAGACTTTTTACATGTCCCACTCCAAAAGTTGCCTAGTTTGGGGGCCCCGGGCCCCCCTTTTTCAAAATCCTTGATCCGCATCGGAGCGATGTTGGACTCAACACTTGACATTTTTAACACAGCATTTAATACAATCAAACAATCAAATAGAATTGTTCAATTGCAATAAATTGGTTAACATTTATATGAATTAAAATCAACTAAAGTATATTAAAGAATGATATCTTATTTATCTTTATTTACGAAATAATAATTTTAACATAATTTGTCAAAAGAACCCTAAAAATTGCAAGGATATGTAATAATTGTAAGCATATGACAACTGACCCAAACCAATACAAAATTACGGTACTTTGATTGTAACGCGAAAATAAAATGACATCATAACATAATTACCTTTATTGTCAGCGTAGGAATTTACATTTCTGTTTATGTTCGACCTGTAAAATATTAATGCAAGATAGATTTTGAAGTTGAAATTAGTTTTCTCTTTTTCTTGATGAACTATATTTGTGTCTTGGGTTTGAGATTGTTTTTGGTGCCAGGCCTATAACCATTGTTACCGTAATTTTCAAACTGTCATTTGTTTAGAAAAAGGAAAAAAAGCTCTTTACAAAAAGTCTCCACATCCAGTTCAGAACTAAAATATACATATTTTCCAATTGTGCATTACAAGTATATTTAATTATATAAACGGTACCAATTTTACTGCACCAGATGCGCATTTCGATACTAAATGTCTCTTCAGTGTTGCTAGAGGCCAAAATATTTAAAAATCCAAAACCAAATACAAACATTGAAGAGCTGATCAACCAAAAGAACCTAAAGTATAGCCAAAATCGGACAAAGAATCAGTGCTTTGCATGAGGGAGATATATTCCTTAATTTGAATTGATTTCTAAAATTTTATAACAGTAAAGTTCAAACAACACAATATCAGTAATTTCATGCCAGTACTGAAGTACTGAATCTACAATGTCATTTTAGTTAAAATTGTTGTAGGAATGTAGGGAAGTAAAACACAAACCACAATAAAATGTTTAAGGCAATTTTTGACTTCCCAAACTGGAGAATTTAATTAAGGGTTGTAAAAAAATATTTCTTGTACACATATTTTTTTGTAGAAGCATGAGGAGAGATTATTCAAACTATGAAAAGAAAATGTAATATATCTGACAATTGTATAAGTATTTACCTTGACCTGGATCTGATGTAAATATACGCTCCCTAACATAGTAATTTTGGTAAAAATGTTTTTAAAAAAATCACTTTTCAACAAGCGTTATGTGTGAAATAAATGATAATTTTACATTGAAATGTTTTATGGCTGCATGACTGTTTGGTTTTAATGTGCGGAAAATAAATAAACCAATTCAAACAATTAAAGTAAATAGATGAGCCTTATATATCAGAGAGACTTTGTTTGCCAATGATGCAGCCTATTTTGTTTTATATAAAGTATAGTTTCAGTGGTTTAACTTACAAAAATTAATTGTAAACATAAAATTGTTATCATGATCATGTACTCACTGGTTTTGTCTGTATGAACTTCCTCTATGGTCTGACCTCTGGAAACCTCTATGGTCTGACCTCTGGAAATCTCTAGGTGCATTCTGATGAACATTACTGAATTTTCCTCGGAAATTACCTCTTCCTTGTCTTTCAAAATGTTCTTGTCCTCCTCTCCCTCTATAATTATCAAATCTATCTGAATTTCCAAATCCTCTGTCCCTACCATATTCTCTGTATTGTCCCCTCCCTCTGCTGTCATCTCGTCTGTCAAAATATCCCCTCCCTCTACTGTTATTTCCTCTGTCAAAACCCCCCCTTCTTCTACTGTCATTTCGTCTGTCAAAACCCCCCCTTCCTCTGCTGTCATTTCGTCTGTCAAAATGTCCCCATCCACCTCCAAATCGTCGTCCATCACTTCCATCAAAAGGTCTATGTTTTAATTTCACTTCATTTAAAGCACCTAAAAAAGAACTACTAATAGCATTTCTACTTGCTTCTCTCTTTTCATCTTCACCCATGTCATTGTCATCTGATTCACTGTCACTATGGGTAGAAGATAGATTACGGTCTGAAACTTCATCATCACTATTATCACTATCTCTTCTTTCAAAGAATGAATCTTTAGATTTTCTCACTTTTGAAATGTTTTCCTCCTTCGAATTGGCTATAAGAAAATCTGGGATATCTTCATCTTTGCTATTAACTAGGTCATCCATGTTCAATTTCTTGACTACCATTTCACCTTTAATTTTAGTGTGGTCTTCATTCTCACTTTCAACCTGTTCATCATCGTCTGAATCTTCCTCACTTATCTCACTTTCAGCATTGTCTGAACCTTCTTCTCTACTTTCATTTTCAGCATTGTCATAATCTTCTTCTCTACTTTCACTTTCAGCATTGTCTTGGCCATCAGAAATTTCATTATTTTCACTTTCTATCAAAGAATCATTATCTCCATTTGAATTACTGTCCTCTTTTTCATTTGTCTGTTTTTCAGTTACCTCACTTGTATCACTTTCTTCATTAACATTTGTTAATTTATGTTTTTCTTCCATTATTTTTGTAAATTTTTTTGGACTTTTATCTCTAACTTTACTTGTCTTTTGTGGGCTAACTTTTTCAATTTCCGTTGATTTTTTGGTTTCTTCATTAACATTTGTTAATATACATGATATTTCTGGCATTACTTTTGTTAATTCTTGTGGACTTTCATCTTTAACTTGAGTTGTCTGTCCTGGACTTACTTTTTCGATTTCCGTTGATTTTTTCACCAGTTTTATGTCTGATGCATTTACCGAAACACCACTATTATCTTCTACAGTTAATTCTGAATCCTTTCCTATTTTACTTTCCAAGTAAGTCTTTACTAAAACATTTCCTGCATTAACATTTGTTACCATTTTAGATTTCGATTCCTTGTATTTATTTTTGTAAAAACGCCTAGGAATGTGGTTAAGAAGAAACTCTGATAAGGACTTCCAGTCATCATGGTCCTTTCTAAATTTGTCAACTTCATCTTTCATTGCAGTATGTTCTGATAGTCTAGCTAGTGCTTTCATTTCTGCAGAGGCATCGGACTGTAAGTATAAGTTCAAGTCTTACCTAATGTTAGTATTTTATGTGAAGCAACCATCATATTGGATTTGTCAAGAAAGTCAAAACGAATAATTGCTACAAATCTAATAAAATGTACATATTTTTTTTTATTATATATACATAATTCTGTATGCATTTAAACTGGTTCTGACCAATTTGATAAATTTAAAGTTTTTTAATTTCTCAAGTGAAATTTCACACCATTTTCATTCAGAACATTGCACTAGACAATAATCATTAGTTCATTACAAAAACAGATGCTACCACTTTACTCTGTTGACAACAATACTTATCCAGTCTCTAAAGTGAAATTTTAATACATTTAAATGCTTGGTAAACTTCCCATTTTAAAGTATAATAAAGAGCTGCGCTATGAGCGCATGGTACGTGGTACGCCCATCGCCCATTTAGCTTGTCTTTATGCTTTAAATGAATTTATTTGATCAACTAGAAATGGTCCGAGTACACAGTTATTTCGTAGTGCATTTCTTTTAGACAATAAATGAAAATTAAAAAAATCCCACCTGCGCTTTCTCAATAATATTTTTACAGTGTGTTGTACTACTTTTGGGACAAATTATATCAAAATTATAGAAAACTTCATCGGCTCTAACTCAAAATATGGACAATTTCATGTTAAGGGGGTCTTCAAATCTTTTGACAGCTTCCGAAGTGCTAATTTTTTACATTTTTCAGCTGGACCAAATCACTACTTTACTTTAAAATTCATGACCCAATTTTTTTTACAGTGCCATTTCACCCCCCTACTTACTATTTGAGTCATAAAACATGGAGAAATAAATTTGGAAGGGGTATAAAAAAAATCGACAAGTAACACACTGTCCACACTAGGGACTATATTCGTGGACAACGAAAATCAAAGGACGATAACTGTGTACCCGGACCTAATACTCTGAGCACTGCTTAATTAGACCCCCCACCTCCCTAAAAAAAAAAATTATTAAGGCTACCTCAAGTTTTACTAAGTTTGTGGCTTGTATTTTAGAACGAATAAAATTCTATAACCATCTAAAGTGTGAAAAATGGACAGTTTTCAACAAATTTCCAACGAATAAAGTTCAATCACTCTGCAATTTAAAATCAGAAGTTTATGAAAAAAAAACAAAAGGGAGCTTATTTCAATAGATATAAACAAGTCACCAAAGTTTCACGAAAAATGCTCAAAGCATTTTTAAGTTATTGTCTGAAAACTGGAAAATCCCTCCTTGTTTATGAATAAAGTCCCAATACTTCAAAACATAATACCAGAAAATTTTAAAAACTCAAAAGGGAACTTATGTCAATAAATATAAAAATATGGGGAATGTGTCCATGGGATACAGAAGATGCCCCCACTTGCATATAACATTATATAGGGACATAACTCAAGAACGTTAAAAGAAACGCTACCCAAATTCATACTTGATCTGAGTTTTGTGGTAATATGCATTGTGTATAAGTTTCATAACATTTGGTAGAGGCAAACTTCAGTTAGAGAACCATTTGTAAAGGGGCATAACTCTAAAACGGTAAAAGTGACACCACCAAAATTCAAACCTGATCTGTGTTTTGTGGTAATAAGCATTGTGTATAAGATTCATAACATTTGGTTGAGGCAAACTTAAGTTAGAGAACGGAAACGAAAAATTCAGCAATTTTTCCATTTGTAAAGAGGCATAACTCTAGAAAGGTAAAAGTGACGCCACCCAAATTCAAACTTGATCTGTGTTTTGTGGTAATAAGCCTTGTGTATAAGTTTCATAACATTTGGTTGAGGCAAACTAGAGTTAGAGAATGGAAACCAATTTCGGGACGTACAGACGTCCAAGAGTTAAACTTAATGCCCCCTCCACTACGGCGGGGGCATTAAAATTTGTAAGGGGTTCCTCTGAACCCTGTGTCTTCTACGATTGCTGGTCAGTGAAAAAGTGTAATGTTGACTTAAAAAGTTAGTACATTTATCAGTAAAATACAGTAGTTAAAAAAAAATCAAACTTTTTCTTTAAATGCTAATTCTTGGTCTTGAAGATTAGCTTCTGTCCAAGTTTCACATATTCCATGAAGGCTTACAAATTTATCAAAAAATGTTTATCCCAGACTGTCTGTAAATGTTAACTGTAAAAAAAACAAAGTTCATATATCAGAAAAATACTAAAAATGAAAAAAATATATTTTCAAAAGTTTGATTCAGACATTATCTCTTAATCATTAAAAAGCTTCTGCCAAAATTTCATAAAAATCTTATGAAGGTTTGACAAAGTAATTGATGTGTAATAAACTTTAACCCCAAACTGTATCTACTTGTTAACTGTAAAAAAACTAAGTCCATTTATCAGTAAAATACGGAAAAATGAAATTAAATACTTTCAAAATTTTGCTCTGGATACTGTATTTTGGTAATAATCAAGCTTCTGTCCAAATTTCATAAAATTCCATGAAGGTTTGACAAAGTTATTGAAGACAGAAAATTTAACCTCAGACTAAATCTGAATGTTAACTGTACAAAAAAACTAAGTCCATTTATTAGTAAAATACGGAAAAATGGAAAATAAATATTTTCAAAATATTGCTCTGGATACTGTATTTTGGTCATAAACAAGCTTCTGTCCAAATTTCATAAAACTCCATGTAGGTTTGACAAAGTTATTGATGTCTTAAAAAACTTTAACCACAGACTGAACCTAAATGTTGACGCCGCCAATGTCTCGCGTTTACAAAAATAATTTCGCAGGCTCAACAACAATTTACCAAAGTTTCATGAAAATTGCTCAAAGCATTTTTAATAGAGTAATAGTCAGAAAACTGGAAAATACCCCATTTTTTTTTATTAATAAAATCCCATAACTTGGAAATGTAAAATCTAAAATTTATAAAAATCAAGGGAGCTTACATCAGTAGATATCAACAATTCCTCACAGTTTCATGAAAATTGTTGAAAGCGTTTTTGATTTATTGTTTGAAGTGTTGACAACAACAACGGTATACCAAAATACATCCTGTAAATGGGCGTATAAAAAATGCCCTATCTCAAGTGGACAAATATTCTAATCAAAGGGAGTTATGTGGTAGAATCTACTGATATATATCTTTATTACTACCAGGCAAATTGGTCTCCAAGTTTAGGTGGTTTTAATTGTTCTGTTTCAATCTTGGGTTTGGGCTATTTTTCTAAAGTTTTTAAATGTTTCATGTGATCTTTAGGTCTCAAAGAGAACCTGATGAAGGATATTCCCATTACATGTGCTTACAATAAAACTGGCATCATACTATATTCATAATCACATTAATTTGTTTGACCTTTTACCCCCAATCAAGTATATTTAATTTTGATTTCCCTTAACAAAGTCAATTTTGTTGATGGATAAATTTCCATATGCAAATCTCAAATAATAATCAAAATTGGAAATATACAAATGTACCACAGCCTTGCAAGAGTATAACATAAGATAATCATTTTTTTTAAAACCAAAACAGAGCACCAATATGTACACAATAAAATATTCAAGCTTTGATGTAGTAACTAAGTTTTGACCTGGGAGAGAAATTAATTCTCTCCTCCAAAAAGCAATAAAATGCCAAGAATTTTTATGTTTACCAACCTTTTCAGTTATTTCTTGAAGGACTGAATCATATCCAATGGCAAATTTGGAAACTTTGTCAAGTTTCAAGTCCTACAAATAAATCAACAAATTTGACTTTTGTATAAACTGGCTAAGTATATACAGAATGCACATACTAATTTCATTTTCTATCAGTCTAAGAAAGCACAATGATTACTTACATTAGTCATATGGAATTTTCACCAAAAATAATATTCAAACATAAACTGAAAAAACACAACAGGCTGAATTACAACAGATAGCAAGATGGCAACAGTTCAAACTGGCATTTAAACCAGTCTGAAGGGTATGGGTTTTTCCCTTGTTGTAGGCTGTATAGAGACCGTAGTTGTTTAAATCCACGTCGTTTGGACCCTTTTGGTTAGTTCTCAAAGGCAATCATACTTTTTATTTAATATATTCAAATATTGAAAATATATACACATAAAAAAATCCTTGATCCAGAAATCTTAGTGACATTAAACATATGTATATTGTACCTTGATGGCATACATAACTTCTAACTGTCTCTCAATCTTTCTTTTGTCCTTATTTTTTTCTTCTTCTGTGCCTCTAAAATTGTTTTAATATATGTAATACATTTATGAAGTAGATAAATATGTCATAAGACATAATTATAAATGGTCAATGATTGTTGGTTGATTCTCTTGTCATTACTTTGATCCTGTTGTTAAAAATTGTTAAAACTTCTGAACAGTCTTTACTAAGAGAGGTTTACTTGTTAATTTTTTAAATAGTCAAAAATTACAATAACTTTATATAATTTACAGTGTACATGAATTACTATTTTTATAGCCTATAGGCATCAAAAGTTTACTTGATTTCACATAGAGCAGGACTCTTGTAAAGCCTTTCAAAAACCTACAAGACAGTGTACATGCTCATTTTGATAATCTATGAAAAATGATAGTAATTCTCATGATTTAAACATGCTGAACAAACTAATGTTATTGCTGTAACAAACATTATCTTTTAAATGAATGATGCATAATTATAATACAATAGAAAAATAATGAATATAATTATTGTATGGCAATCCATTATTGTTCTTGAGTTGGTATAAACTGATTTTGTGTGAAAACTTACTTTTTATTCCTTAAACTTTTTACCCTCCTTATTATCTTTTGTACTGTCTGACCTTTAGCCTTCTTTACAGCTGGTCTCATCATAATAATCTGTCAAATTAAATCAAAAACACAAATAAATTGTTTTGGTTAAAACATACAATATACTAACAGGTATTTTTCCACATTCAGATGTTAAATTGAATTACAAATTCACAGAATAAAATCAAAGTGTCTCCACAAAAAATAAAAAATATTTGATCACATAAAAAAATTGACAGTGTTGTCTAAATTTCCATCAATGTGACTGCCTCATTGAAAAGTGGCTTTGAACAAAATCAAAGTATTTATAAATGAGAACATGAAGGTAAAGGGTCATTTCGTCCATTTACTGTGGTTTCATTATTATTTATTGGATACCATTTTTTGTTGATTTCTACTCGTAGTTGAACTACAAATTTAAATTAAATGTTCAACGAAGAAAAAAATTTCCATAGGTTTATTTGAAGACTTTGGCAAAACCACAAAACCAAAAATAAATTTTATTACTTAGGTTAAAAGTTACGTATTTTTAATATTTTAACGGATTCTAAAAGATGTGTATTATTTGCGGTGTTTTCCTATTTCAATTTGTATGGATGATTTTTGTCCATGTAAAATGCACTTGTTTTTGATGTTGGTAACTTGTTCAAATTTTCCTGACTGCTTTTTGTGGATATGATAAGGAATTTAGTAGGCGGCCTATTTAGAAAATCATGCTGGACACAAAATCCCAAGAGGTATTATAAAAATTGAATAAAATAAATATTTTTTATTCCAATCAAGGTCACAAAGGGGTCATTTACAAGCAACAATTATAATAGTAAATACATACACAATATAAGCAACAAGCACGATACATTACACAGTATAATATAATGAGACCTATATTGTAATAGATATATATAACATATAGAATAAGTACAATTGGAATGGTATGTCCAGTGATGCAGCTGGGGTCACATCATCATCATTATTAAGGAAGATTTATAGGGTTATAAGTAACTTAACTTATTAAGGAAAACAAATTTTCCCTTATGTTAAATATGTGCATGATGCTTTGTTTCAATTTACAGTAAAAAGCTCACCACTGCTTATGTTTATATAATTTATAGGGAAAAAAATGTTATATGTTTAAGGCCGCAATTTAAAATATCTTTGTTTCCCCTTACCCTACCCACCATTTTGGAAGTGGGTAGGTAGGTAGGCTTTTTTTTTTTTTTTAGAGAAAATCCCTGAAATATATCTAACACACAGGAAAACAACAAATTGAACTTTATTGATACTAAAACAACATACTGTATAACGTATTATGCATGACTAGAAGACCTTACAATTTCAGACTAGAAAATGTTTGTAAATATCAATGTCTTTGTGACTTAGAGTAGACCACATATAAATTGAGACACGGTTCTATATTTTTCTTATAGTTTTATTAATTCAATTGAAAATATAAAACCCCAACGAGACTGCTACCTCGTAACATTCGATGCAAAAAATATGTACGCTTGTTTTTCATTTAAGGAAATACTAGAAGCCACAAACTGTGATCCAAGCGAGTATGACTACGCCTATTAAGGCTTATTCTAGAAAACTATGAATTTATTTTTATCAATAAACTTTACCATGAAACCTTGGGCGTGCCTATGTGCGGATCAGCATTCGCTGAGTTAGCAGACCTTACAATGTTTGTTAATTCTTGAACACATTTTACAACGCTTTCAACACAGAGAAACAAAATGATAATGATAGTTGAAGTTCACCTACGAATTTTCCTGTAATGAAACAATATTCTTAGACACTGTCATAATTATACAAAGGAGAAAGATTCTTTAACGAAGGCGTAGTATGATACAAGACATTAAAACCAATATCAAACCAACTGAAACATATCAATATCTGCACAGACACAGCTCACACCCAAAAAGTGTTTTCATTGAAAGGATTTATCAAGGATGAAGTATTGAGGTATCTCAGAAACACAAGCAGCAAAACTGATCTTAAAAAAACAGTAAGAAGCTCAAACGAGGATATCAAATATCTGAAATCAACGATTTTTTTTATCAAACACAAAATACAGAAAGGGAAAACATGCTAACACATCACCCAGCGAAACGGGAGCAACCGCTAGTAATGTTAACAAAATTCAACCCATCTATACAGAAACTAAAAATATAATAATGAAACACTGGCATCTTATTTCACAAAACCCTGAATGTGTGACCATATTTAATCATCAGCCCATTATAGCTTATAACAGACATAAGAACTTACTAGAACTTTTATCAAAGCATTAGCTGGTATGGTCATCTCGACTTTTCACAACACAATATGATACTGAGCTAAAAAAAAATCAACTACTATTTTATCCAAAGACAACTAGTGTATGGTCCAATATCACATACGAAATGAAACAAAATAGCATAAATCAGAGTTCACGAAAATGGTCGGTCCTGTCGGTCAAAATGAGGCTCGGACCAGTATTTTGAAGGCTAGTGCCGGTCCCAATGACCGATGTAAAAACGGCCGTTGTAGTGCATATTTCGGCACTTTTTTACATCGGTTATTAGATGTACCGCAACTGTTTCCAATAAGTGTTTACATCGGTTATCAGATGTATCCGCTGCCAATTTCCGGTACTGGTTTACGGATTTATTATAAACAAACCAAAGCGGCGATCTACACGTGGCCTACTTAATTTGTCCATAGAGCCATCCCTGGCAAACAATCGGCGATTGAACCCTACAATGGAGCAAACAAATACTGTAACAGCGGAGAAAGTGATTCAGATGATGAAATGGATAGTGAAGATGACTTTAAATAAGAACAATCAGAAGACCTGAACTGGTCTTTCATTGTTAATTTGCCTGTGGGTGCGAAGAATAAAACTAATATTAATAAAGTTATTTTTCGATAAAATATGTTATCAATTTTTTTTCAGGATAAAATTGAGAGATTTTGTAGGACTGGCTAAAATTTTGTAGGACTGACAAATAATCATGCTTTGTCGGTCCCATGACCGACGGGTCAAAATAAGTTTTCGCGAACTCTGATAAATAGCACGCCAATATACAACTTATTGAGTAGACCACTGATGAAGGCGAACTCAGGGATTTACCACAAACATGGCAGAAACACCAGGCCTAACATTTAAGCTCAAGGGTGAGCTCGGATGCGCAATCGTAACTACTCGGCCATTCTCGCTACGCATTTTGTTATTGGAGGCGTAGCTAGAATGGAAGAGTAGTTACGACTGCTCGGATGCATTTATTTAAAACATTATTCCATTCCAATTTCAGTATCCTTGCATACGTTGTTTACCCTTTGCTGCAAACACACGGGCGACAATGATTTCGCGGAATGTTGAAAATACGGACCATTCAAGGAAACGAAATTAAAAAACGAACTTTTGAGCGAAACGACAAAAAAAAAATACAACAACGTAATTTTCGAAAAAAATTATTTCAGTCGTCAGATTTTTAGAGGGTCGTTCGGGTAAGGGGAAACAAACTTAATTTTAATTTTGGCCTTATTTATGTAAGCCTGAAATCTGTGTACAGCCTCATATTCGTGCTCTTTTCTCAAATCTATGTCCAATTGCTACATCATTTGCAAATCTATGTCCGTGTAAAAATTTTGGCCTCAAATTTATGTCCTCTAACTTGTTTGGGTGTTCTTCTTTTGCATTTACAATTTGTATAATATGCAGCATATTTGCAGATAGCTTCAGGATTTGGATCCTTGGAAATACCTTTTTTCCTCTTGCTTGATATAATGTACATGTATTCCTCATCTACGATAGTTCCCTGCTCCACAATCAATCCTGATGACGTCTTGCAGGGCTGCCAAGTCTCACGCATTTTCATGCTTATTTGGCGGCATTTTCCTTTGATCAATTGTTTTTTCTCTTTGATCTTTACGATTTTGGCCAAATCTCACGCATATTTGCATTATTAAAAGTTGGCAGAACTGTGTCTTGTCGATTCTGATATCAATATGTTTGATGAAAAGGACACAGATTTGAGGAAAGAATGGATATAAATTTGAAACGTCTATGACACAATATAAAATAGGCCACAGATTTGAGGCTTACAGATATATGTACATAATTTATGCTTTGGTATATTTGTTTCTGTAAAAAGCTCACTTGAAAATAAAGTTTTCTATCAATCGCTTTTTTTTATTGTCAAGATCAATATTGCCAAAAACTTGCTAGAACAATCAAAATGTTGAATGTGGGCAGTATATGAAAGCAGAATATAAGTTTAAAGACAATAAACCTTATTATTTAAAGACAGTATGTCTGTACTAGCTGGTTTAGCAACATCAAGCTTTCTTTGTTCATATGCTTCCATTGTTGCAATGTTGTTAAGTATATAAATAGATGAGTTGATAAATCTTTGCAAACAATATATCAATCGCAACTTAGGAAAAAGCTCATGGTGAGAAATGGAACACAAGGAGAACACATTTTTTTTTGTCAATGTCAAATATGTGCTTACAAACGGGCGTAACAAATATTTTTTTTCAAACGCAAAGCTGATTTTCAAAATTTTGATCAAGTAACCTCCCTTGATTTTTTTTATTTTTGGCGTTAGATTTCCTTGCAATCTCTTCTTCGAAGTGTTTCAGGGTTTTACTTAAAGGGTACAGAAAAAACCAAAGAAACATTTCTTTTCGCGTGTTCTTGTGAAAATGGCGGATGTTTTGGATCTTCAAGAAGGGACCGGCGAAGAGTTCGAAGTTGACGAAGAAGGAGACCGTAAGACACTTGTAGTTTAAGTAGCAGAGTGCTGAAAAATAAATGTATTTTGTTAAATGTTTCAGACATTAATTACTTTAATCCACCTGGTACCAAATCACTTTATTCATGATAAACAGAATGTTAAAAATAAAATTATGTTTTACTGGTTTAGTTATACCTTCAGTCCGTTTTGGTTGTATCAGCTGTTTGAAGTTTGAATAAGATTTGTGTTGTCAAACATTCTAGCCTCAAGCATCTGCAAGGGACATGATTTCAATAATTGTCAAAATGGGCATTTGGTGCAGTGAAATTTGGTGTATATCGAATACTTTTATATTCGTGCACTTTCCCATAAATTTCTTGTGTCACAATGCTTATGTCATTACTTCACACTGACATTAAGAACGATTGTTCGATGACGTTTACACCGATTGACCTCTGGTCAACCGGTGTAACTCATACACAAAAAAAACAACTCAAGATTGGTGTATAAGATCTTAATAAACATGGTAAAGATTTATATTATACATGTATATCATATACCATTGTCTACAATATTTTATTCTTTTTAGTTTACACATTTTTAGGCATGATACATGTTTTTTTCAGTTTACATTTCATTTATTTGATATACCACTTAATGAACTCTTAGAAATCCCTTTTTGGATTCTGTGTCTGGAGCAATTTTCTGGCAGCCAAATCAGAAATTCACCCAGACACAGAAAAACCCAAAAAGGATTATCTGCACATGTGTAATGTAAATCGTTACAATTTTTTTTTACATACGATAAATTCAGATGTTTTAATTAATGTCAAAAATGTGATAGCATCAGGTTTGCAATAATTAAAACTTGAATTCATTATTTCAGTCATGTCAGTTGTGATTTTCATTCATAAACTTTTTGAAATTGCATTAATTAGATTTCGCATTTTGACCAGTGGTTAGTTAAAGATTTGCAATTATAAATGAATGCATTAATTTCTGAATTTACCGTATTCATAGTCACTTTTCCATCACCGAACATTTTTTGTGTGAAAATTTAACTACGTTTCTTTGGACAAATTTCCTATATGTAAACAAAATATGTAGGTGTTTGTTGGAAAGTTTGTCAGCACAAAACTATCATGACAAGAATACTACATTTAAATCTTGCAATATTTATAAATAACATGTTTAGGGTGTGCCTGTAAACACATTTACATTTTTTTTGCCTCAAAATCAGTCAATTGCATAATCAGTGGGTTTATTTCACTCAGTGTGTACTGTTTTACTATGTTATGTTTTGCTAATGTATATTTAAGATCAAGTGAAACACTATTATTGATACATGTTAATAAAAAATTAATTAAACATAACTAATGATAAGCTCATCTCTTTCTTTCCAATTACTTATAATTAATATTGTTATATTTGTTTTAGAGGGCTTGCAGAAACTGAAAGAAAAAGCAAAAAGAAGAAAAGGAAGGGGATTTGGTTCAGGTACTTTATAATATATAACTTAAACAGTACAGATTTGTGAACCATGGTAAATAGATTTCAGTGTAAAGTAGTTTGTGATGTTGATGGAAGAAATCCATTTGGATCTGATGCACATATTTAAGAAAAAAATAATGTTCATCGTTGTTCTAGTGAACAGAAACTCAGAGGTAAACAGTTTTATTCAAGCAGAATTCCACATATAAAACCCCAGACTCTTTCTTTTTGGAATGTTTCACAGACAGGACGGGGATTTTAACTGTATATTTTACCAGTTTTATATAGAGAAGTTCTTTTTCTGAACTTAAATTTATTGTACTTTCTTCTGTTACTATTTTATTTCAAAAGATAAAAATGACAATGATAGATTGTAATTTAAAGGTGTAAATAACAAACATTTAACTTTTGATTTACTAATTCCTTCTCTCTCATAAACATAATGATGCAAAAAAGCCAAGACATTTTGGTAAATACCATATTAATGATATATAACCATGAAACATTGTATGTTGTTAAACTTGAATTCTGTTTTTAGCCATTTTGTTTTACATTTACCTGAAGCTTGTATAAAAAAAATCATATTTTTTAAATTACCTGTGGCAAAATGAAGAAAAATTCTAAATCCTAATATGTTATATTAAACCAAATAAAATAATAATTATGGTTTCTGTTACATTGTTGAAAAAAATTGGCTAGGTAGGTAGAGATTTTTATCCAAACAAATTATATTGAATATACAGAGGACCCGTTATGTCTTTAACAGTGCTTACTTACAAATAGCAAAACAAAGCAAGGGTGGGGTCCCAAAACTGGTGTAGATAGGAAAACACACATTATTTTAATTTGCCTTATCAGTTTTATAAACAATTTATACCTGTTTATTGTTGTTTAGATGGACCTACCAGGAGTGGTGTTGAAGAATATGAGGCAATGGAAGTGGATGATTCTGATGGTGGTCCTGGTCCACAGAGATGTATGTATTGTCTGTTACATAGTCCTTAAAACTAAATTCATACGCACCATCTTTTGAAATACTAATAACCTTAGTAATATAAGGCTAAAGAAAATGTACATTTAAGAATTCTGAAATATATTTTTTATTTGATACAAGTATATTCTTGTTATTATTTTCTTTTTCAGCTGTAGAGGGCTGGATCCTGGAATAGATTTTTTATTTGATACAAGCAATTTCTAGTTGTTATTTTTGCTTTCAGCTGTAGAGGGCTGGATCCTGTTTGTTACCGGTGTTCATGAAGAAGCACAAGAAGATGATATCCATGATAAATTTGCAGATTATGGTGAAATTAAAAATCTACACATTAATTTAGACAGAAGAACAGGTTTCCTTAAGGCAAGCACTACTTATATTGATTTGTTGAATAGAACATGAACATGCACATACATAAATAAAGATATATTAAAATGAAAAAGGAATGTGGAAACCAAAAGAAGAAGTGTCATATTTTAAAGATCTTTTGAAAAGTTTCACTGTGCACCAAATACAAACAAATACAAAACAGTTGTAAGCATCAAAATAGTAATTCTCAATATCTATTTTACACATTCTTTGTAGTTTAAGAATGGCATTAACATGATTTAAGTATATTGAAATCCTTCTATGTGTGCATTACTGGCTTACTCCACTAATAAAAGAACTAGCCACAATGATAAACCCGTGAGTGATCAAAGTGTCGGTCACCAACAATCAAGTAATCAATGACCTACATTTTGTTCCAGCTGAAATTATTGGCCTTATTTGCTAGGGCTGTTCCAGCTAAATTAATTTCACATACGAAAAATTAAAAATATCAGAGATCAAAATGACAAATCTATAATATGACATATTACAAATTAAAATGTATGATAATGTATAAGGTAGATATCTTAAGTAAAGTGTGTCCAGCATAATGGGGGAATTTGTTTATTAAAGTAAATGGTTCACTTTATAATGTAATATATGTTTTCAGGGTTATGCTTTAATTGAATATGAAACCTTTAAAGAAGCACAAGCTGCCATGGATGCATTGAATGGATCAGATTTCTTTGAACAAAAAATTAACGTTGATTGGTGTTTTGTCAGAGGTCCCAGAAAACACAAGTAAGTAAAACATGACACATTTTAATATGACGACCTATATATCGACAACCAGTATAATCACAGTATATCTACTTTTAGCGCAGACGCATAGATACACAAAATTGGCTGTTCTGTGTTACGACCAGGTAAACTCAATTTTTAATACGGTTTACTTAGAATTGCCAAAGTCTGCATACAAACCTATTGAAAATTTGTACTTGGTTGAACATCTAAATTCATTGTTCATCTATACTGATGAAATCCCCCAAAATTGGTATCCCACGAATAATAATGAATCCACAGTAACCCATAAAAAGTTAATAATTAATAAAGGTATGGAACTAAAAACTTACAAAACAATAATGTTATTTTGGATTCATTTTTATACGCCCGTTTACGGGATGTATTATGGTATACCGCTGACCATCTGTCCGTCCGTCCGTCGTCAACATGTCGGACATTTATTCAAAAAGGCTTTAACCAATATGCATGAAACTTTGGTGAATTGTTTATATCTATTGACGTGAGCTCCCTTTTGTTAGCTCACCGAGGCGCATGTGAGCTTATGCCATCACTTGGCGTCCGTCATCGTCGTCGTAAACTATTTCAAAAATCTTCTCCTCTGAAACTACTGGGCCAAATACCTTCAAACTTTAACTAAATGTTCCTTAGGGTATCTAGTTTATAAATTGTATCCAAAGTTTTGATCCATCGTCAAACATGGCCGCCATGGCTAAAAATAGAACATAGGGGTCAAATGCAGTTTTTGGCTTATATCTCAAAAACTAAAGCTTTTAGAGCAAATCTGACTTGGGGTAAAATTGTTCAGTTAGTCAAGATCTATCAGCTCTGAAATTTTCAGACGAATCAAACAACCCATTGTTGGGTTGCTGCCACCGAATTGGTAGTTTTAACAAAATTTTGCAGTTTTTAGCTCACAAGGTGAGCTTTTCTCATCACTTGGCGTCCGTCGTCCGTCGTTGTCGTCATCGTCCGTCGTCGTTAGATTTTTACAAAAATCTTCTCCTCTGAAACCACTGGGCCAAATTTAACGAAACCTGGCCACAATCATCATTAGGGTATCTAGTTTAAAAAATGTGTCCGATGACCCCGCCAACCAACCAAGATGGCCGCCATGGCTAAAAATAGAACATAGGGGTAAAATGTAGATTTTGGCTTATATCTCTGAAACCAAAGCATTTAGAGTAAATCTGACATAGGGTAAAACTGATTATCAGGTCAAGATCTTCAGACAAATCTGACAACCTGTTGTTGGGTTGCTGCCCCTGAATTGGTAATTTTAAGGAAATTTTGCAGTTTTTTGTCGAGCCTGCGACTTTTGTCGCAGAAAGCTTGACATAGGGATAGTGATCCGGCGGCGGCTACGGCGGTGGCGGCGTTAGCTAACTTCTTAAAAGCTTTATATTTTAGAAGGTGGAAGGTCTGGATGCTTCATACTTTGTATATGGATGCCTCATGTTACGAAGTTTCCGTCAGTCACATGTCCAATGTCCTTGACCTCATTTTCATGGTTCAGTGACTACTTGAAAAAAAAGTTAAGATTTTTTGTAATGTTAGATTCTCTCTTATTATAAGTAATAGGATAACTATATTTGGTATGTGCGTACCTTGCAAGGTCCTCATGCCCGTCAGACAGTTTTCACTTGACCTCGACCTCGTTTCATGGATCAGTGAACAAGGTTAAGTTTTGGTGGTAAAGTCCATATCTCAGATACTATAAGCAATAGGTCTAGTATATTCGGTGTATGGAAGGACTGTAAGGTGTACATGTCCATCTGGCAGGTGTCATCTGACCTTGACCTCATTTTCATGGTTCAGTGGTTATAGTTAAGTTTTTGTGTTTTGGTCTGTTTTTCTTATACTGTATGCCATAGGTCTACTATATTTGGTGTATGGAATGATTGTAAGGTGTACATGTCTAGCGGGCAGGTGTCATCTGACCTTGACCTCATTTTCATGGTTCAGTGGTCAAAGTTAAGTTTTTGAGTTTTGGTCTTTTTTTCTAATACTATATGCAATAGTTCAACTATATTTGGTATGTGCGTACCTTGCAAGGTCCTCATGCCTGTCAGACAGTTTTCACTTGACCTCGACCTCATTTCATGGATCAATGAACAAGGTTAAATTTTGGTGGTCAAGTCCATATCTCAGATACTATAAGCAATAGGTCTAGTAAATTTGGTGTATGGAAGGACTGTAAGGTGTACATGTCCAACTGGCAGGTGTCATCTGACCTTGACCTCATTTTCATGGTTCAGTGGTTATAGTTAAGTTTTTGTGTTTTGGTCTGTTTTTCTTATACTGTATGCCATAGGTCTACTATATTTGGTGTATGGAATGATTGTAAGGTGTACATGTCTAGTGGGCAGGTGTCATCTGTCCTTCACCTCATTTTCATGGTTCAGTGGTCAAAGTTGAGTTTTTTGAATTTTGGTCTGTTTTTCTAATACTATATGCAATAGTTCAACTATATTTGGTGTATGGAAATATTTTATGATCTATTTGGCAGTCATGCAGGTTTTATTTGACCTTTACCTCATTTTCAAGGTTCATTGCTCAGTGTTAAGTTTTTGTGTTTTGGTCTGTTTTTCTTAAACTATAAGCAATAGGTCAACTATATTTGTTGTATGGAAGAATTGTTAGCTGTACATGCCTGCCTAGCATGGTTCATCTGACCTTGACCTCATTTTCATGGTTCATTGGTCAATGTTTAGTTTACTTGGTTAATGTTAAGTTTATGTGACAGTTGTAATAAAGCTTTATATATTTAGGACTATCAACATAATATCAATGATTAGTAAAGAAGGCGAGACATTTCAGTGTGTGCACTCTTGTGGTTATTATCTTGAATATTATTATAGATAGAGATAAACTGTAAACAGCAATAATGTTCAGCAAAGTAAGATCTACAAATAAGTTGTCATGACCAAAATTGTCAGTCGACCCCTTTAGGAGTTATTGCCCTTTATAGTCAATTTTTAACAATTGTTTGTAAATTTTTGTAATCTTTTACAAAAATCTTCTTATCTGAAACTACTGAGACAAATTTAAGCATACTTGGCCATAATCATTATTAGGGTATCTAGTTTAAAAAATTTGTCTGATGACCCCGCCTTCCAACCATCATGGCCGACTTGGTTAAAAATAGAACATAGGGGTTAAATGCAGTTTTTGGTTTATATCTCTGAAACTAAAGCATTTAGAGCAAATCTGACAGTTGGCAAAAATGTTCAATAGATTTAGATTTATCTGCCTTGAAATTTTCAGACGAATCCGACAACCCGTTGTTGGGTTGCTGCCCCTGAGTTAGTAATTTTACAAAAATTTTGCAGTTTTTTGTTATTATCTTAGATATCATTATAATATCTAATATCTAATACTATTAATTATGATTTTAACCTTATTTTACATGATTTTCAAAGCATCAGTATATACAGGTGAGCGACACAGGCTATTGAGAGCCTCTAGTTTGTTATTATTTTGAATATTATTATAGATATATATAAACTGTAAGCAGCAATAATGTTCAGCAAAGTAAGATCTACAAAAAAGTTAATATGACCATAATTGTCAATTGACCCCTAAAGGAGTTATTGCCCTTTAAAGACAATTTTACACAATTTGTTCATCAAGTTTGCTAACATTTAAAAATCTTCTCCTCTGAAACTACTGGGCCAATTACCTTCAAACTTTATCTAAATGTTCCTTAGGGTATCTTGTTTATAAATTGTATCGGAAGTTTGTATCAAAAGACAAACATGGCCGCCATGGCTTAAAATAGAACATAAGGGTCAAATGCAGTTTTTGTTGGTCAGTTGGTCAAGATCTATCAGCTCTGAAATTTTCAGACGAATCGAAACCCGTTGTTGGGTTGCTGCCACCGAATTGGTAGTTTTAACAAAATTTTGCAGTTTTTTGTTATTATTAAGTCTCCCAAACGAAGTTTGGGAAGACTTATTGTTTTTGCTCAGTTATTATTATTATTATTCTTCTTCCGCCGCTTTTAAATTTGAACTTGTCCGCACCTGTTCTCCAAAACCGCTTGTCAGATTAACTTAGGGTTTCACAATATGTTAGACTAACATGTCTAGTGGTGCAATCAGGGTTTTGTTTGTGCAATGGGGTTTATAAAGGGGTACTTTGAGGGGCAAAAAGAAAAGAGGGTTTTACTATAGAACCCTATGGGATTTTATTTTTTAAAATTTTCAAATGATTATAAATTGAAAACCGTTTGTGATAGACACAATCTTTTTAATTGAAAATGTTCTAAATGATAAAGCTCATTAAATGAAATACAGGGTTAGTCCACAGGGGTCACCCCCACTCCCTGCCATTTAAGAAAGTTCTAATATCTTCTAAGTGGTCAAGATCCCCACCCCTAAACCATATATATTCTGGTTTGTCATGCTAAGATGGTTTGAATGATATACAGGGTAAGTCCCCAGGGGTCATCTCGACCCCCTGCCATTTGAGAAAGTTCTTATATCTTGTAAATGGTTGAGATCCCCACCCCTAAACCATATATATTCTGGTTTGTCATGATAAAGCACATCAAATGAAATACAGGGTTAGACCCCAGGGGTCACCCCCACCCCCTGCCATTTAAGAAAGTTCTAATATCTTCTAAGTGGTCAAGATCCCCACCCCTAAACCATATATATTCTGGTTTGTCATGCTAGGATGTTTTGAATGATATACAGGGTTACTCCCCAGGGGTCATCCCGACCCCCTGCCATTTGAGAAAGTTCTTATATCTTGTAAATGGTCGAGATCCCCACCCCTAAACCATATATATTCTGGTTTGTCATACTAAGATGGTTTGAATGATATACAGGGTTAGTCCCCAGGGGTCATCCCGACCCCCTGCCTATTGAGAAAGTTCTAATATCTTGTAAGTGGTCAAGATCCCCACCCCTAAACCATATATATTCTGGTTTGTCATACTAAGATGGTTTGAATGATATACAGGGTTAGTCCCCAGGGGTCACCCCACCCTGCCATTTAAGAAAGTTCTAATATCTTGTAAGTGGTCAAGATCCCCACCCCTAAACCATATATATTCTGGTTTGTCATACTAAGATGGTTTGAATGATATACAGGGTTAGTCCCCAGGGGTCATCCCGACCCCCTGCCATTTGAGAAAGTTCTAATATCTTGTAAATGGTCGAGATCCCCACCCCTAAACCATATATATTCTGGTTTGTCATGATAAAGCACATCAAATGAAATACAAGTTTAGTCCCCAGGGGTCACCCCCACCCCCTGCCATTTAAGAAAATTCTAATACCTTGTAAGTGGTCAAGATCCCCACCCCTAAACCATATATATTCTGGTTTGTCATGCGAAGATGGTTTGAATGATAAACAGCGTTAGTCCCCAGGGGTCATCCCGACCCCCTGCCATTTGAGAAAGTTCTAATATCTTGTAAATGGTCGAGATCCCCACCCCTAAACCATATATATTCTGGTTTGTCATAATAAAGCACATCAAATGTTATACAGGGTTAGTCCCCAGGGGTCACCCCCACTCCCTGCCATTTAAGAAAGTTCAAATATTTTCTAAGTGGTCAAGATCCCCACCCCTAAACCATATATATTCTGGTTGGTCATGCTAAGATGGTTTGAATGATATACAGGGTTAGTCCCCAGGGGTCATCCCGACCCCCTGTCATTTGAGAAAGTTCTAATATCTTGTAAATGGTTGAGATCCCCACCCCTAAACCATATATATTCCTGTTCGTCATGTAATGAACATTTGAATGACGTATAGGGCCAGTCCCCAGGGGTTCCTCCCCACCCCCAATGTTCTAGTATCTTGTAAATGGTCGAGATCCCCACCCCTAAACCATATATATTCTGGTTTGTCATGCCAAGATGATTTGAATGATATACAAGGTTAGTCCCCAGGCATCACTAATGCATATAACTTTACTGGACCAAACCAATTTTCACTGGACGTTGCCCAATGTCAGGCGACCCTGGGAATTACGAATTATGGGAGCTTCGTTTGGGAGACTTCGTAACAGCATCCTGTTACAATCATTTCTTGTTTTGAATATTATTATAGATATATATAAACTGTAAGCAGCAATAATGTTCAGCAAAGTAAGATCTACAAAAAAGTTAATTTGACCATAATTGCCAAGTTTGCTAACATTTAAAAATCTTCTCCTCTGAAACTACTGGGCCAATTACCTTCAAACTTTAACTAAATGTTCCTTAGGGTATCTTGTTTATAAAGTGTATCGGAAGTTTGTATCAAACGACAAACATGGCCGCCATGGCTAAAAATAGAACATAAGGGTCAAATGCAGTTTTTGGCTTATATCTCAAAAACTAAATCTTTTAGAGCAAATGTGACATGGGGTAAAATTGTTCAGTTGGTCAAGATCTATCAGCTCTGAAGTTTGCTAACATTTAAAAATCTTCTCCTCTAAAACTGAGGTGAGCGATTCAGGCACTAGAGAGCCTCTTGTTTTTTTTATAAATTTCAGATTTACAATTTCCAAGTTTTGGGTTTTTATTCATTAAAAAAGGGGGATTTTCCAGTTTTCGAACAATAACTCAAAAACAATTTTACCAATTTGCATGAAACTTTGGGGAATTGTTCATATCTATTGAGGTGAGCTCCCTTTCGTTTTTTATAAATTTCGCATTTACCGTTTCAGAGTTTTGGGGTTTTATTCATTAAAAAGGGGGGATTTTCCAGTTTTCGGACAATTACTCAAAAACAATTTCACCAATTTGCATGAAACTTTTGTGAATTGTTCATATCTATTGACGTGAGCTCCCTTTCGTTTTTTATAAATTTTGGATGTACCGTTTCCGAGTTTTGGGGTTTTATTCATTAAAAAAGGGGGGATTTTCCAGTTTTCAGACAATAACTCAAAAACAATTTCACCAATTTGCAAGAAACTTTGGTGAATTGTTTATTTCTATCGACATGAGCTCCCTTTTGATTTTTATAAATTTCAGACTATACGTTTCCTATTTATGGGGTTTTATTCTTTACAAAAAGGGGGGTTTCCAGTTTTCAGACAATAACTCAAAAATGCTTGCAGCATTTTTTATGAAACTTTGGTAAATTGTTTGTATCTATTTTTGTAAGCTCCCTTTTGATTTTTATAAATTTTTCGAATTTACATTTCTGAGTTATAAGATTTTATTTGTTTATAGTCTGACAACCGATTTACTAAGTATTGCGCAAAAGCACAGTCTATTGCACAACAGCAAGAAATCTTTCATATAACCAATTTCAAGTTCTTTGACTACATTTATTCAGAAACCTATAATATATCAAATATTCAGATACAATCCAAATTCAGACCTGTATCAAGCTTGAATATTGTGTCCATTTTTGCCTCAACTGTTCAGGGTTGGACCTCTGCGGGCGTATCCAGCTGCGCTCAGCGAAGCAGTTTTTATTATTTGTGGTATACCAATTTTCGTGGGTTTCGTGGGTCACAGCGAACCACAAATTTAAGAATTCAACGAAGAATAATCCCGAGAAATGTGTATGGAGTCGGATGTTTATTTCTGGTTATGTTATGCAGTTCTAGTATAGTGTTGACTAGTGATAAACATTGTAACATAACACGTGTTTTTATTGAAAGAAGATGCAAGTATTTTGATTAAATCAATAATAAATATATCGAATATCGGTAATAATTTTCTTTTTGAAATTGATTAAAACTGTTCATGGAAAATAACTGAAAGTTGTTAATTACTGTGTCATAGTTTGGTTTACTGGTGATAAAAAATCCTGGGGAGAACACTCGGATTAAGTACGGGGATATTGCCCGTAGGTAATATTGTTTATGACAGGAACATTTATTTTCACACCTTTTACTTATATGACTGTTAATTATATCGTGATTAGGGAAATGAGCTTTCAATCATAGAGTTTTGAATGCCTTTTAAAATTCCGACAAGAATTTATAAATTGTAAAACAAACAAATAATTAGTTGTCTCTGTCCATTATTGTAATAGAAGTTTTCAATGAACACTTTAACCTAGAATGACCAAGCGAGGATTTTGACAATTCAAAACTTTTTTTTTTTTTTTTTTGTAATCAGCGATCCACGAATTTACGTATACCACGAAACGTCTTTTTTTCTCTATCAACGAAAATTGATACCCACGAAAATAAATGAATCCACAGTACCTGGCATTGAAATTGTACTTAAAACTATCAACAGATTTAATATTTGGAGATTAGTGGATACCACTGGAAATTAGAATGCAAATTAGATTAAACAGCACATGTATAGCTTACAGTGATCATGAAACCATTAAAAATTATTGAGTTATTAAATTTTTTAAACTGACTGAATTCCTAGTCCACAATATTAAGGCTAGGTAGTAACTATGACACTTGTCAAACTAAGCACTGTTCCATGAAAACGTGCGTGGTACACAGGGCAAGTATTTTGATAATAAGGTAACCCCCTATAGATGCAATTTTAGAGACTTGCATAAATTTTAAATGTGTTGTCACACCTACCTATAGTGTCAAATTCAAAATGCCATCCCTAGGTTTTGATGTATATTTCTATGAAACAGTTCCAACATATATGAGTCGGAGTAACTATGAACTATCTATCAGTTACATTCAGGAATATTAATGGGGACATAGTGCATATCTTTGAAACATAAAATTGTTATTTATGTTATTTAGGAGTGCATGTACACATCTCAAATGATCTAGAACAATAATAGTTGCCTGTGAAACTGTTTTGATGAACCATAGAATAGAGAATGGAATAGGGGAATGTTTCAACACATATTGTAATAAAAAAGTAAACCAACACACATCTGCCATTTACAACACAAACATTTCATTACTGAGTATCCTTGTTGCAGCTGAAAAAAAAAATATTTAAAAATGTGAGCTATTTTAAATTTATAAAACTATTCAAATATTAAAATCGCTTTTTTTTATTTTTTAGAAATGAGCTTTACAAATCAGAGAATCATATCAAATTAATTAATGAATATTGTTTTCTATTGCAGAGGAAGAAGAGGAGATGATCGGCGGAAAAGATGAAAACTGTACTTCATTGTTTTATTTTATTTTAACAACATCATGATATGATTATATAAAGTCCAGCAAACAACATTATGATATGATTATCTAAAGTCCAGCAAATTTTGTATTTCTCTTACCAAGTAAACCTATAAATACTTGATACTTATGATCAAAAATGAATGTAAAAACTGCAATGGTTATTTTTAGATTTAAAAATCATTAACTTTAAGAACATAAGGACACATCATTCATTATTTTCATTTATTATGCTGTCGCTTTGTGTACATACATGTCAACATTGAAACTGTAAATAAATATTGTTCTAAAAACATCTTTCATTTTTTCTTTTAGAAGATAGGATATGGGGTTAATGCTCATCTGACAGGAATACTAACATTAGGGAAAAAATAAAAATGAATATTTATGAAATTTTTAAAATGCTTCTCATCATAAAATCGTGTTTTGACTAAATTATATTTTGATTGATTTTTCTCGGAAAAAAAGGTTTTAAATGACTCCATTGTTTACACTCAATTGCAGCAATAAAATGAATACTATCAATACAATCAATTGCAGCAATAAAATAAATACTATCAATACAAGAAAACAGTACATTTGGAAACAAATGGCCAAGCATAAAAATGGTGAATTAGCATAGTAAAGCTAGTTATTTATAAAAATAGACTAATGGCAACTAGAGCACATCATGCTGGTCAGTATTGTCTTAAATCTTCTACCTTAATTAAGGTACTCAGGATTCACAAAAAAACCTTAAGTGAAGCCTCAAATTTGGCTAAATTTTCATAATGACGTCAACTTGTGAATAAAAAAGTGATGTTAGGTATATATTAATTGACAGGAACCCAATGACATCTGATGGTCAGCATACAGTCTTCAACAATATACAAGTGTCTATATAATGTATCAAGCTAAATTGCTCAAAGTCTAAAAAAAAAATTGTGAATAAATTTCTCAGAAATATTGAGAACCATGTGATCCCCTGTTTAACAACTTGCATGCTGACGTGCAAGATTTGAACCGATGATTAGGTTGAACTATCTTCTATATGTCAAGAGTGAAACAAATGGTTTGTCTAACCTAGTGATTACATGTTTTTTGAGATAAAATATTGTTACTGGTTCCTAAATGACATAAACAAGAGTAACACTTCCCTCTATTAAGATTATTGAAAGACAGGAAAATTGAAATCCTCTAAATGACATAACTGTCATTATTATTTTAACTGGCCTGTAACATAAGTCATAGAATGCAAGACCTGGAGAATTGTGCAAAGGGGGCAGGGGATGAAACATATTTTATTAAGATTAATAAATATACTGAGTACCAATAGAAAGCCAACACCTTAATTTGAAAAATAAATTAAAAGATTTTCTTTTTGACCAATTGTTGCAAATTTTGAAAAGCGTAAAGATATTCATACAGAACATTTTGGGCAATTTTAGAAGATTTTTGGCGGCATAAACTATTTGTATAAAGCTTTATATTTCAGAAGGTAGTAGACCTGGATGGTTCATATCTTGTATGCAGATACCTTATGTTAAGAAGTTTCCGTCAATCATATGTCCATTGTCCTTGACCTCTTGTTAATGGTTCAGTGACTGCTTTACATGTCTGTCAGACAGAGTTCAACTGACCTCGACCTCATTTCATGGATCAGTGATCAAGGTTAAAGTTACGTGATTAGGTCCGTTTCTCAAATACTATAAGTAGTAGGTCAACTATATTTGGTGTATGGAATGATTGTAATTGGTACATGTCAGTCTGGCAGGTTTCATCCGACGTTGACCTCATTTTCATGGTTCATTGGTAAATGTTAAGTTTTTGTGTTTTGGTCTGTTTTTCAAGTACTATAGCAATAGGTCAACTATATTTGGTGTATGGAAAGATTGTAAGGTGTACATGTCTGTCTGGCAGGTATCATCTGATCTTGACCTCATTTTCATGGTTCATTTGTCAATGTTAAGTTTTTGTGTTTTGGTCTGTTTTTCAAGTACTATAAACAATAGGTCAACTATATTTGGTGTATGGAATGATTGTAAGGTGTACATGTCTGTATGGAAGGTATCATCTGACCTTGACCTCATTTTTATGGTTCAATGGTCAATATTAAGTTTTTGTGTTTTGGTCTGTTTTTCAAATACTAATAGCAATAGGTCAGCTATATTTGGTGTATGAAGTCATTGTAAGGTGCACATGTCTGTCTGGCAGGTATAATCTGACCTTGACCTCATTTTCATGGTTCATTGGTCAATGTTAAGTTTTTGTGTTTTTTTTTATTTTTCAATTAGCATATGCAATAGGTCAACTATATTTGGTGTATATGTCTGTCTGACAATTTATCTGACCCTGACCTCATTATCATAGATTTTTAAAAATGTTTTTGTTGTAAAGTTTCTGTAATGCTTTTAGTAAATCCTTTCTAGCAGTAAAGCATGCGAAACATTTCAGCGTGTACACTCCTGTTAATTTTGAGACTCCAGGGTTCACAAATTCCACGATTTTAACCATGCAATTTATATTTGCATTTTTTAAAAACAGCAAATTTCACAACAATGAACACCCTTTGCATTTTGTCCAGTGTAATCTCATCTGGATGAAAACCTGTTCTTGCTTGTGACTCTATAAGACTTATTGCAAAGTACATAGCTTGAAAAAGTATCTTCATTAACAAAAGGTCTGAGAATTAGATAAGTTGCCTTTCATTGGCATTCATTATATTTCAGAAGGCAGAAATGCTAGATATCTACTTCTTGTTTATAGTTTTATAGGCGAGGTTGAACATTAAGTGTTCCTGATTAAGTCAGATTCTCATAGGTCAACTTTGATTGCTCTATATAATCATTTCAAGGTATGGTAAACATGTCCCTTTGGCAGGATATAGAATGACCCCGACTTTTTTCACAGTACAGGAATCAACACTTATAAGTTTTCTCACTAAGGTTAGTTTCTCAGTTTCAATTTTTTGAGTCCACAATATTTTGTCTACAGCAATCCTGTAAGGCATACATGTGTCTATCAGGAATCACCTTCAATTGACCGGTTTTTCGTTACCCAGTGATAGGCATTCACTTTACAAGCTATGGTCATTTTTGCAGTGTCTGGAGTAATGTGATTAACTAACCATTTTAGCTCACCTGGCCCAAAGGCACAAGTGAGCTTTTCTCATCACTTGCCGTCCGTCGTCCATCGTCGTCGTCAGTCTATCTTTTACAAAAATCTTCTCTGAAACTACTGGACCAAATTTAACCAAACTTGGCCACAATCATCGTTGAGGTATCTAGTTTAAAAATGTGTCCGATGACCCTGCCTGCCAACAGAAAAATGTTGAGCTCTACCAATTGTCCTAATAAGTCAAACTGTCAAACGACTTCTTATAGGAGTTATTGCCCTTAAAAGACTAATTTTACCATATTTTTTTCAATTTTCCCTATTATCTTGAAACTATAATAGATAGGAACTTTAAATTGCAAAAATGATCAGCAAGACAAGTTCTACAAATAAGTCTTACATGGTCGAAATTGTCAGTCGACTCCTTATTAGAGTTATTGCCCTTAATGATGATTTTTACCATTTTTTGCGTTTTGCCTTATATGATAAAAATCATAATAGATTTTAATATACACTTTAATTCACAAAAATTATCAGCAAGGCAAGATCTACTAACAAGTCAAATTTTGCCGATATATTTAGTAGACTGTCACTCTTTATAGGAGTAATTGCCCTTCAATGAGGATTTTTTTTACCCTCTTTTGTGTTTTGGCAAAATTAAAGAAGATCAAGAGAAACTAAACAGACTAAATGATCAGCAATATAAGATAAAAAAAACAGAGATTTTGTCATGAATTCTATTTTCGTCTACAATGTTGGCGAGTGTCCTTTGTTAAATATGCACATAGACCAAGGTGAGCGACACAGGCTCTTTAGAGCCTATAGTTATACTTCATTGATCAACTCAGGTTTGCACTCTTTTTTTACTGTCTCAGTTGTGAGTAATAAAACATATGAATCTTGTATGAGTCATTTACTTGTGGGTCAGTGATTGTTATTGCGAACCAAATGAAACTTTTCCACAGTCATCTATTGGTCAATCTATTTAAACTCATTGATTAATTTACCTGAGCAAAAAAATTAACTCACAAAACTGCATGTGATGCTGTATTTATTCAATATCAACAATATATTTTCAATCTGTTCAATGTAAATAGTGATTCAAACATGAAAAGTTGATTGCTGACGATATTTTCAACATTGTTCCTATTGAAATTTTTTTGATTTTTTTGTGTTTGACAAATAAAAAATGGAAAATGTGATGAAGTTTAAATTAAAGCCTTCTTAAATGTATTCTATAACTAAACTAAAACAAAAAAAAATGCAAATTTCAATAGGATTAAATCAGTGTTTATATTGAACAGAATAAAAATATATAATTACTATTGAATAAATACACCACCTTAGTGATGGATTTCTCTTAGAAGAAATTTTTAGGTCTTAGTGAATAAACTACACAGAGAACAATAACTATTGTATTTATTCAATGGGACAATAGAACTGACAAAACTTTAAATAGATTGACCAATAGGAGATTTCTCTGTGGAAAAGTTTCATTTGGTTTGCAATAAGTGTTCACACTTAGTATACAAATAAGGAGATGTGGTATGACTGCCAATAAGAACTATCCAGAGTCCAATTGATGTGGATGTAAGCAACTAAAGGTCACTGTACTGCCTTTAACGAATATCAAAACCATACTGTATGGTCGGCTATATAAGGCACTGACATGACAAAATGGTGAGTTACTTTGCCACTATAACTAATTGATGAATCCTTATTTGGTCAACTTTCATTGACATGATTTTCATAGCTCACAGTGACTGATCAATGTTTTTTTTAACAATATAAGGTAAATATTAATGCAGTTTATTGTCTTGCCTGCGATGAAAGTCACAGAATGAGATACATAAGGATTAAAATTGGGCAATGAAGGCGTAACTATTTGTATAAAGCTTTATAGCTCAGAAGGTAAAAAACTTAAGATTCTTCACAACTTGTATGCATATGCCTTATGTTACGAAGTTTCTGTCTGTCATATGTCCATAGCCCTTGGCATTATTTCATGGATCAGTGATCAAGGTACAAGTTTTTCTGATCAAGTCCATTTCTCAGATACTATAAGCAATAGGTCAACTATATTTGGTGTATGGAATGATGTCTGCATGACAGGGTTCATCTGACAATGAATTCATTTTCATGGTTCATTGGTCAATGTGAAGTTTTTGTGATTTTGTCTGTTTATAAGATACTATAAGTA